CACATTTTAAAATACCATGTGCAGTATGTGCAACTCACTGTTGGGTTTATGTTATTTTTACTGAGACCATTTAATTCCTGGTAATTGTAAACCCCTAGTCCTTGTGTTAGGTTGGTCGTCCTGAGTTAGTTCCCATGGGCAGCAATACTTGTTAGGTTTTGGCTGAGAGATACAACGGGTCATCTGCTGTGTATGGCTTGGATGCCATTGCTCTGGAGACATGGAAAGAGAGCTCCTACTGTCACAGTCCCATCAGTTCTTTTGGAGCCAACTCCTTTCCCAAAAGAGAGGTATACCTTGGAGTAGTCTGCAGCTACTTTCCACTTTTTTGACACTAAAAATAAATTAAAAAAAAAAATAGGTCTTCAGTCATTTTCTGTCTGACCCAGCACGCCTGTTAAAATAAAGGGAGACAACCTTCCTTCCTCTTTACAGGGAAAATGTCAGGTCTCAGGTGCAGACTTTAAGGGCTGAGGGCAGGGAGGCTCTCCTGTTAGCACTGCCGGAGCAGCACCTTTCCTTCTTGTTGATTTGATTCAGCTGAGTCAATGCAGGCCCATGTTTTCCCCTTCCTTACTTCTCCATTCAAATCAGGACTGTGGCCCTGAGGGATGGTTTTCATTAGGCAAAAGATAGGTGAGGGAATGAACAGACCGATTAGGCTCCCGATCCTTCAGCCTGGGAAAGCTCGTAGGAAAGCAACAGGGATTAAATTTACATCATGTGGTTCATAACAAGGTCACCATGTTCTGCACTACTTGCTAATGGGACCGTATTTTACAAGGACACTTTGCAGTAAGGTTTGTATTTGGAGGACTAAATCAAAAAATGCAGCTTTTCTTTTGATTCCAGTACCTTGTGCCTCTTTTGACTTCCCAGCTCATTCCTTGAAGGGAATAGGCAGAGGAGAAAAATAAACACAAGAAACACTTTCTGTGGGATTGTGTAAATTAAAGTCCATTGAAACCTCTGCACAAACCCAAATAAATACTAGAGATATGATTACCGATTTATAAAACTGAACAATGTTTCTGTAATGATGGCTGAGATAGGAAATTCTCAAAGACCTGATTGAAAGAGCTGAAATGAAATACAATTCCATCATTCATGTTTTTAGCAAGCTAATTTTGGTTCAGTGTTGACTAATACAGAATAATAGCAATAAAATATGCTACCTCAGTCTCTGCATTATTGTCTTTATATTATTTGTCCTGACAGCTGGCTTTTAAAATGAAGTAAATATTGGGCGATGCTATCCTGTTAAGACAAGCCACTTCATCAAGCATATTTCCAAATCACACTTGCGTTTCAAAATGTGTTTAATTTCTCTATATATGGCAAAGGAGCCCACTGCAAAATTGACCTGCAACAGAGTGCCCTCTACTGCATGTATTCAGGAAAGGAAAAGAAAGCATTCCTTAAAGATAAAATCTTTATGGTCTGAGGCCAGCAGCTTTGTCACACGCCACTGCACATTGAATTAAAGGACATGCATATAGGTACACATCACTCTTACCTTCTTCTAAAGAGCTGGGCACCACTATGGAATAATAGTTTAAAACAGGGATGAAATTTGCACAAACTGTTGCATGGTTTTATATGAAATCAGTACATGTCTTTCCATACCAAAACGGACCACGCTTATAGGTTGTGAGTTATTAGGGCAGTTAGCAATCTGTCCTGTAGTGCCCTCCTGCCACCCCTTTCTCTTTGCTACCAGGAGGGATCCGTAACAATATGACGTGAAAAAGTCTCTCAGCTTATAGATCTGTTTTCTCAGATCTTAATCTCTCATGCTCCCTCATTTCTCCCCTTCTTTCTATTTGTCATTAGATCACTACTATTAAACTGAACTCTCATTTTCATTCCCATGTCCTTGATAAACCCGTTTGCTGTTACTGAGTTATACCTCTTGCAAACGATTAAGAAGATATTTCACCAGGGCTGTCTCAAAAAAAAAGTAGAAACTGACAGGTTACAAATGTGTCATGAAAGTAATTCTCCAGCTAGGCACAAATTCTCAAGCAGACCTACATCCTTGAAGCCTTCCTCTCTTTCTGCATTGGGCCAGCCTCATGCTGAGTTTTGTGATGAACCAAACACCTGCAACTTCTGTTAAAATTCCCAGTGGCTCTTATAGCTCAGTCCCTCCAGGATGAGAAAACCATTTCTCAAAACACTGGTATAAATGAACATTAAACTTTTTTAATCTCTTGTGAAATGCCCTGGTTTGCACAATGAAGCCAGTGCTTTGCCAGAAGTATCTGTGGAGCCACAATTTCGTTCTTAAAGTCTCAGCTTATGTCTTGATAAACCCCCCTGATCCAGCTGAACTGGATCTTGCTGCATGATCAAAGGTGTTCCATGTTAGCCCTCTGCAATCAAAGACGGTGTTTGAAAACCTTAGGACATTTCTGAGTACGTCACTGGGGCAGAGTAGAGGTGGGTAGTACACAACAATGTTTTCCAAAGCAACATATTCAATTACCAAAAAAGTTCCTTAAACAAAAAAGAAACAACACAAGCAGGCATTTCCGTAGTACGCAGTGCACATATGGCCTTGCAGATATTTTAGCAATGAAGTTTGTGTCTGGATTTGTTCCCATATCTGAAACCGTCCCTTAAGGAAACCCATATTGATAATTCACACCTTCTAAGGATGATATTTCTGTAATTGCTTTCCCTTTGCTTCATACCTGTAAATCTTGTATCTTGTGCTAAATCCCTGTCGACTTCTGTCCACAAAATCTGTGTATTCCTGTGAGCGATGGAAGGGTCCCTTATCAGAGAGGAGCCAGTCGAAGGGGCTTGTGGCATGCTGATCCGAAACAGCAGCAACTGCTAAAACCCAGCAATGAAGACTCAGTGCTATCCACTCCCATAGAGCCATCAGAGAGAACAATTCAGCACCAGCACTGCAGCGCCATATCATGCTTCCACTGGGGACTTAGAGCCTTCATTCTCTTAGCTTTCCCTCAACACCTAGACAAAATACACAGTCAATTAGATAAGCACACACTAAGCATCCCTTGGAAGTAGAAACAAGTTTCCTTTCTTTCAGCTTAAAGAGATAGTGGCCTCTACTTTATTACATTTTACATTAGCATAAACCCCACTAGGCTAGTTAACAGTGGAGTGTTTCAGTACTTCAAATGCTGAGAAACTAATGTCTTCATTAACATCATCAGCGATAATATTTACTGGTGAAGGGAAACCTTCACAAATTATCAGGGGAGAGATTGCTGGGGATTTTTTTCCAATAATGCTAGACATTAATGAAAAATATGCAACACAAGAATTATTGCCTTGTAGCAGCAGTACAAAATAATTCAGCAATGTCTATGTATAAGGTCCTAGTTCAGATACTGGACAGAAAACAGGTGAGATTCAGAAGACCCAGATTGCTTTTTTTTTTTTTTTTTTGTCTTTGGAAAAGTTACTTAGTGGCTTGTCTTCACTACAAACATGGTTAACCGACTCACATTATTCTGTTAAAACTAGCGCAGCTGGACAAAGACTGACTGCGCTGATCAATCGCCCTGGAGCTACCCACAGCAATGAGTTAAAGGAGTTATTCAAGCTCCAGATGCTGCAATTCTGAGTATCGCCAACAGCAGCACTTGACTTGCAGTCCAGTTCACTCCAATTTCAGCCCAGAAATATTATTTCTATTGAGCCAAAAAAATTGTTTGGGTGCCCAATCAAAAATCCAGTATTCACCAGTGCCTCATGTAGGAACTCAGTGAAGACAAGCCAGTTTCTCTCTATACCTGTCCCACACCTGTGCAATGGGGTAATGATTCTGTATCCTGCCCAGATTTTGTGAAAACACCTATGCAAGAGCATGAAGTTCTCAGAAATACTGAAATGACAAAAGTCATGTAGATTCCTAAATATATAGAAACAATCAGTTCTAGTTTTCGGTGTAAGGTACAAAGGCTGAATTAATTAAAATAGATTAATATGAGAACTTTAATTTTTCTAGATGATGAATTTACAAGGAAAAACATTTTTTCATTCACATTCACTCAGAACAGCACTCATTATGACATTTTTACAGTGCCCCTTGCTACGCTTTTTCTTTTAATTGGTGGGAATTTTTTTTTTACCTTCAGGAATTTAATTTGTAAGTGTACCCTCAGTGAAGGATGCTTCCAACAGAACAGTTCTGCAACTGCACACTCAGTATCATCCACCCGTTATAATGGAAATGGTATAGTTGAATAAATATGCTCTGTGTGTATATTCTAGACATTAATATTCTGAAGAGACTTTTGTACAGATGATAAGCATATCAGCTGCAGGAAGTTAACTGCCTCCAGAAGAGCACGGAAGTTCATATGAACCAACAGGAATTTACAGTCTGAGGATATAATAACCTGCCTATACAATCAGAGGAATAGTCAGGGTTCGTTGTCTTCTTAGGCACAAATGTAACTGTTTGTAACATGATTTGGACCTGAACCTGCAAACAATAACTGTGTAAGTAATCTCACTGAAAGAAAAAAAAAAAATGCTATTCCTACATTTCATGCTGAGCATATGCCAAAGCACCAAGTTGTAACCATAAGTGGTTACAGCCATGCAGTGGTTTATGATCATAAAGCACGGGTTGCATTAATTTTATAAATCCTTTTGAAATGAGATTCCAGGAGTCTACAGCAAAGAGCTCTCTAACTTTTATTTACACTCTCAAGCAATCACTGACATGCAAAAGCCGGCAGATCTGTGTATACTGTATGAGGTTTCAATATCTTCTTCCTAGCTTGGTGGTTTTTTTCTTTCACAGGTTGAAGTTCATGTATGTGAGGTTACACTGTTGTGGGACATTCATGACATCATATGAAAAAGCCAGCAGAGATCTGAAGCAAAACTGAAAAGTAAGAGATTGCTCTCCCAGCCCCTAAAAGCCGTGATGATCACCATTTCCCATTAAAAATTAGCTCAGTGTGAATGAAGAAGACACATCAGTCACTTCCAGCCAGGTCAGATCTCTTTTTTCATCACAACAGAGTGAAAAATCCATGAATAATTCTGTCCCTCTTCTTCCCACCAGCCACCCGAAAATATATTGCCCAGCATACTCCTTCTCCTCCATCATCCCTTTGGCAGACTAGGAAAACCCTGGGCATAATTTCTTTACATTATGTGAAGCTACAAAGGGCATAGTGAGAATTTTAATTTTCATACCTACTGCTGTTATAAATTTGCTAGCTAATACCTAAGGCTCTATGTTGCCTAAATTATCCTTTCTATGGAAAAAAAAATCATGTAACGGTTTAAATTACAAGAGGTAGGAGTTTACTTTTTCAGGTACTTATTAACACTGAGGTGTTTCAGATCATTAAACTGTAATGATGACTAATTGACTCCCTTTTGAGTTCAAAATGATAATATTAGGACTGGAAAATGGATTATTTTGTATATGTTGCACCTTCCTAAAACTAGACCAAATGAGTACCTGAAAAGGAATCGTGAAGAGCCCTGCCCTGTGCTTGCCTTAAGGCTGCACCTCATGGCATGTGAGAAACTAACCACTGGCAAAACACCTTTAGAGAACCTTTGGAGTTACAGAAGAAAATAATCTCCCTGTTTTAAAGATACATGAAGGTATTTTCCAAATAAGCATAAATATACAGCTAGTCCTTACGACGAGTAAAATGTGTGCATTTCTGACTGATCCTTATCCACTCGTCTAGATTGTCCAGTCATTGTAGCATCAGTTTGCATAATATTAATTCTCAAAAGACCCTTGAGAAGTAAATTTTTATGACAATTTAATAAACAAAGAACTGAAGCATGAAAAGACCAGGGCTAAGATTTTTTTTCATATCTTAAAAGGATGCAAATGTGCATTTCCTATTAAAAAATAATTTAGAAAATTCCAGCCTAAGGAATTTTCCTAAGGTTACAGTGTGAAAAATATCTCAACATTTAAAATACTCAAATTCTCTAATGAATACAAAAGCCCTGAAAACTTTTTTCAAAGACTGTTATAGGCATGTGGAACATACAAAGATTGTAGTTACAACAGCCATCACAGAACTCCAGGGAGAAACAGTCTGAATTAAATTTATCGTAGAGCACCTGCTGGTTTCAGGGTGGGATGTGAGAACTCAAAAAGAAATGAACACCTATTAAGTAACAGAGCTGGTGAATTTTAAAGAGGAGAAGACATCTTCAGACAAAACTGTCCTGTCAACCTACTGCCTCTTTGAAGTGCTAGCTTAGAGGACAATTATCAGGTATAGATGTTCAGCACAATTACTTCTGTTAGCCCCAGGGCTTCACCCAGCTACCACTTGCAAATGTTAATAAGTTTTCAGTCCTTCCTCTTCTAAATTTTGTGAGTGAGTTCAAGTGGCATAATGGGCTAAATTCTTCTTTGGTAGAAATCTATTGTGTCCTCACTGGTGCTAATGCAAAATAAATTTGACTCAGCTTCTTATGGAAATGCTGGAGCTAAGTCCTAACTTTCATCAGCATGTAAAGGGGGCTGAAGACTGGTGAAATCCATGTATGTACATCATCAGAGACTATGGTACTAGCAAGTGCCAAATGAACGTTGTGGTCACTGGGACAAATTTCATCAAGCTTCAGCTGTGAACAAGAATGCATGAAGACTGTAGGCTTTTTGTTGTCATTACTGTAGGGCAAACCCCACCAAATTCAGTCTTCATTTTTTTTTTTCAGGTAAATAATTTTTTTTAACATTAGAAATTGTGTAGAATTTCATATGGCTAGTCTTATGAACTCACGAAGCTACTGTATCTAAAACAGTACAAACTGAAGTGTTTGCTTGATTTGTGAGTTGAGCTCTCTTGCTTACAGAACATTAATTGATAACTCCTGTATACTAAGATATACAGGATAAGGGTCAGCCCAGATGTGTGGACAGCAATGTTTTAAAGATAAAGCATATCAGTAAGTTTAAACCCTTTCCAAATGGAAACAGTATTAAACTTTCTCAAGGAAAAAAAAAAAATAGAAATCTGTGGAAACCTCACTGCATGAGACTTTTTTTTTTTTCTAAAAGGTGAGAGTCATGTATAAAACAGATGTGCTAATATACAGTAGAGATACAGCTTCTAAATAGATAGCTACTGGTTCCCTAGTGGAGCAACCTTTTTTATGAGAGTCAATAAAGTCTATATTAGGCATCATCAGCAGTTTTTTTGGGCCACATCTACACTTGCAGTTCTCATGCATCAAAATAAAATAACTGTATACTAAATGTACAGACACTTTTTATAAGATCTGGGGCTTTTTTTCAATATTTGTCTCTATTATGCAAGTCTGGGAGGTGCTGTAGCCTTGGTCTGAGATGCTCTCTCCTCTGTAACACATGGAACAATGCCCTTGCAAACTCTGACAGCATCACAGAAATGAGCACAGCCTTGCCTCCCTCATTCCCTCTTCCTCTTTGCATCTCACAGCCATCTCCTTCTGACAGCAGACATGCAGAAGACCAGGATCTCTCTGAAGCCCTTTGGTTTTTATGCTTACTAGAAATGCATGGAAATGCTGAAAGGTCCCAGCTCTCCATGGAAGGCTGATAATTCTCCGTGGGTTTCTCCTGGCTGTAACTTTTCATAATGATGAAATAAAAATTTAAGATTGTTATTCTTAAATACCTCCTTTCTAGGAAAGTAATAAGTAAATTATCAGGAAACACTATGTTCATGTCTCCAGAAGAGTTAGAAACTTCAGTGTCTCTAAGATGGTGGGGTTTTATGCAAAAGACAAAGCCTAGTTATCTTTGAACTAATAAAAATAGTAATTAATAAGCATATATTGCTTTAAAAACAAACAAAGAAAAATTACAATAACAGATGGGGTGAATAAAACCAATTGTGTTTGCAGGTAGTTAGATTTCAGTGAGATCATAATTTTCTCATTTGTAAGGTTTTTGATACTCCATCTCTCCACTCA